TCTAGTACGACGTAGTTTTCTTTCCCGCTGCGTCGAGCGGCGCGCTTTTATGGAAGCTGCTTTCTCGCTGTAGCATGCCGTCTCCTGGCTTTAGTGAATCCGCTTTTTCGTTTTAGTGGAGCCGTTTCCTTGCTGTCGTAAAGTCCGCGGCGTGCCTTAATGAAGCCCTGGGGATGCGGCGGCGTTGCGGGGCCCAAGCCCGGTCGCTGGGCGGGGGGGGGGCTTGTCTTTCCTGCCGGTTCACCCCGTGATGCGTTTGCTCGAGTAATCAGGGTCGCGCTGCATCGGGTCGCGGCGACCCTTGGACGTGTTGTCAGCGATTTGCAGATGCCCCTCGACAGAAGATCCAGGGCGCGAGCGCCCGGCGCCGCTCGGCAATTCGGGCGCGCCGCCGCGGTTATCGCGCAACAGAGCAGCGGCGTTTTATTGAAAGGCCTGCTTCGATTGGCAATTATCTCCTTCGAGGTAATGGCGAACTTTTACCGCTGCCAAATTTCCCAGGAAGCGATGCGGAATGCCCCGTGGCCCACGGCCCCTCTCAATGGGTCTGCGCGGCCCGCGGCGTCGACTGCAGCGGCGGGCGAACTCGGCCCAGCAGGGGGCTCGCCAGCTAGCGGGGGCGCCGAGAGGGCTGTCGGAGACGCGCCGCCCAAGGTCAAGCCGGAACCTTAACGAGCGCAGTTGACGCCAGCTGCAAAACCGAGCTCGCTGAGGAACATCTTGCAACGCCCTCGATGGCGCCATGCGCTTTGTTGCTGGGAAAAGACATTGCCATCGCAACGGTCGGCCGCAAGTTCGCCGAGGCACTGCCGGGCTGCGGGCGACGTGATCTTTCGCGTGGCAAGACCCACAGGAAGACGCAACAAGTTGGCTAGATTGGAGTCAGGAGTTCTCCTGGATTTACGTAAATATACATATGATAACAGTCAGGAGCTCGCAATCGGAACGAACCGAGGAGCGATCGGACCACCGCGGCAGCGCCGCAGAGGCAGCGACGAAGGACGGCGCGGAGATCCCAATATGTGAATCCCATTGAAAGTTTACCGCGACAGGCGCGCCCCGCCGCGAGCAGAGACGAGGTGAAGTCATGCCTTCGTTGCCAGTTGAATCAGGGGAGGCTCGAGCACGGCCGCGCGGGGTCAGCGTCGCAGAATGCGAGAACGTGGGCGGCGCTCTAGGGCGCCGCGATTGCCGCGCCACTGCCGGAGGGGGCGCGCGCCGCGCGCATCGCCGCGCGGGGCGCCGAGCAGGGGGTTTTGAGCGGCTCGAGGGCCCCAGGCTCGCAGAGCACAGTCTCGGCTAGCACCAGCGCCATGGCGTGACCGCTCAAGAAGAATTTGCCAGCCGCGAAGAGGAACGGGGGCAGATAGTTTACGTGGAATACAACGCGTAACATTTTGAATGTCCGCATTAAGTGGCGGTCGCTGGAATAGACGGGGTTTTCCGACCTTGGAGTCGAGTCCGGATGCAGGTGGCGCGTGCAGAGAATCGGCATGTTCGAACGAATTACAAACAAACAACCAGTCGTGGTTTAAACAATGACACTGGCGGAGTTGCGGAAACGCGGGACAGCGGGAATACCAGCGGAAGCGCGCAGGTGGTTCATGCAATGAGCTGGGGCCGAGATCTGGGCGTTGGGCGCCTAGGCCGATGGGTCCGGCGCGACGCGCGCCGCGATGCCAGTCGGTCAGTGGCCCGAAGCAGAGCGACAGGCTGAGGAATTCAAGCGGGTCGATGATGAGGACGACCAAACGGCAAGTCAAAACGCCCGAGGATTGCGCGACGTGGGCGTTTCCGGGGATACTGCGAGATGGAGAGCCGATTATAGGCGAGCCAATATTCACAGAAGTGAACGATCAACTTCGTCATGTCCGATTGCGAAAAAAAGCATGCAGGCACTGTGCAGGCTCGCGTGAGCGAGGCGTACTCCCCCGCCAGGGTGACAGGCGTGGCCGGCGCGATGAAACTCACCCTTTGGCGATCCATGGACATGATTTACTGCGGTGGGCGCGATGACCATTCGAGCTTTTAATTGGAAGCCTAAAGCGCTCGAGATGTCAGGCTGCAAAATAACGCGTCCAAGATCGTCTTGTGTCGCCGCTCGTGGCATGCCCAGCGCGCGCAGGATTCAGCCGACTTACGCAGGTCAACGAGAAGCCCCTAGGCAGAGACAGAAACGTGGCGATCGTCCTGCGCAGCATGACGCATATACAACCTGCTGTGGGGCTTCGCTAGTTCCAGAGACGCAGCGTCCTGCGCGTTCTGTTTGAACGCCCGCCATCAGCGACTAGGGGTAGACGTCCACCTTGGATGCGCGTGCAGTCGCGGCATGACTCCTTGGCAGCGCGGAGAGGAATGGCCAGCAAAGACTACAACAACCTAGTGCGTGATTCACGCGGCGATGACGGGAGTGAAACTCAGCGGCAATTTTCAATAACCTGGGGCAGTTAGGCGAAAACGCCAGGGGTGTACCCTGATTATTTGCGCGTGGGCGCGCTAAGGGGGTGAACCTAGCCACGCGAAGGCGCTGTCAGGAACGGGGGCGCTTTCAACGAAGACGGGCTTATAACCACTCGCTCGTTTGGGGGCGCAGTGGAGTTGGTGTCGTCCGCTGGCGAACCAAGCGGGGACATCGACCAATTGACGTGGGCGGGGTGGCGGCGACGCGAGCGGGCAAATTTTACGCCGGCCCGGAGAGCCACTGCAGTGTTCTAGAGTTCGCTCGCGTGGCGAGTGACTACATATAGCGAAGCGGGAGGGATAATAGTCGATTGGCCCGTGGACGGCGTCGTTAGGCGAGACGGGCGAGGAGAGCGCTGGCGAGGGCGCAGGAACACCATCGCGTCATTTACCTGCGCCATCGAGGGGAGCGAACTGGATTGCTCCTGGAAACGCATGCGAACGCGATGGCTAGACGAGAAAGCCAGTGGTTGGGCGCGCCAGCAGCCGACGCAGGCGCCGACATCTGTTCTGGAAGAGGAAGTCCAGAGCCTTTGTTGCACGCCGTCGCCCGCGTCTTCGGGCCCGCGTGCTCTGCGTCGGCTCCCTTGTGTGAGCTGTCGGCTTTTGACTTGCCGCGGGAGGCCCGCGGGCCGTGCGAACTTCGCTGGCCCCATGAAACCCGATATTCCCAGACAGGTTTCCTGGGCCACATGGGCGCTGCAATGCGCGCGGGCCCAATGCGCCGGGCGAGCCCCGCGATGCGCGCGGGCCCCGTGGGCCCCTAGGGTCGCCGAGGGCAAGTCGGTTTCCTGGGCCTGGCGAACCCTGCGGGCCACGGCAGCCCCATGGGCCCTAGGGGCCCCATGAGCACATGTGTTTTTGTTATCTCTCCTTCTTTTGTGCGAGCCCCATGGCCTTTGATTTCGGCGAGCATCTCGAGCCGCCCCAGGCTTTGCGGGCTCCGTTGGGTCGTTCTGTCAGCGCAGGGAAACGGCCTCGCACTTTTTCTCGTTGGACCTTTCTGCCGGCGCCAGCTTGCCGACCCCGGCAACGTCGGGGGGCCGCCGCCATCCCCGAGGCCTCCGCTGGAACAGCGGCCCCATGGGTGGGCGGAGCCCCTCGACCACATCGGCAGTTTGGTCAGGGGCTGCGGACCAGGTTTGAGAGGGCGCCGCGCTCTCGGGCCCTGGCCGCGCAGGGCGGCCGCGGCCCCGGGCGCGGGGGGTAGGCGGCGTCTGCGGTAGATCGAGGGATGTTCCGTTCATGAAGGAAGCCGCAGACTTCCCTCGCCTCCCCCCTCCTCCGAGAACGCTCGCCAGTTTCGCCTCTCGCCCGCGCGCGTTGTCCCCCGCCCCCACCCCCGCGCGCTGCTCGACGTTCCCCCCCCCCGCCCCCCCGCAACTCCCGTGGCCGGGACGGGCTGGCGCTGGCCCAAACGCGATTCCAAGTTCTAATAAGCAAATGCCTTCTGGGTGCTTGCGTCGGCTTAGCCCCCTCGTGAGCGACGCGCGAGGCGCGCCATTCCATCGCGCGTTTCGCCGCAGATGCCCGCGGGGGGTGCGCGCGATCCGCCGCGGCGACGATGGGTCTGGGAGAGCGCAGGGCAGCGCGAGCGGAAGCGAGTTCGCCCCAGAACAAACGGCGAAGGCAAGGAGAAACATCTGATCAATTCCACGAACAGCATGTCACTAACAGGGAAGTCGGTCGACATCCAGGGTGCAGGCCAAGGCTGGCGGCTCAGCGCGAATCGCGAAACTTGAGCGGGGGGCAACGATGTGCGGCCCCGTTGGAACCGCGGACGAAATTATTCCCCATGGCAAGTGCCGACGGACTTGGGCGCAAAGAAGCGGATGCGATATTGGGCTCAAGTTGTGGCCCGTTGACATGGGGGGGCCCATGCGTGTGCACCAGAACACACGGGCGCACATATGTATATATATGTATTTATGTACAATGTGGCGAATATTGAACGGATGTGTCCTGGCACATGTTGGCAGTATCCGACGCGGAATATGTATGCCAGTCTGTTGTCAGTATTGTAGTGCATCGCGATTCCGACACGTATAACAGATGTATCCAAACATTCGTATCGAACAAATATTGAGCGGGTGGGTTGGCACATACGGTTGTTTATATACGGTGCTTTCACATGTCTGTACAACTAATGTATGTCAAGACACCGCATGAAGTTCCTGAGCCTGGAAAGCGCGGTCAAATGTTCAATCCAATGGGCGGCGCGCGTGGCGCAGCAAGAAATGGGGACGTTTGTTGTAAATACCTTCGTAAGGAAGCGCGCATTACGCCTGGGCGATCACCGCCATGGGCAATTTGGCCTTCGACAGACATCTAGGCCTCCTGGGTGGTGTCGGAGTAGATGGGGTCGGGGGATCGCGCCGCATCGCCGATGCGGCTCGATGTGGAGGTCGATGTGCTTCGCGTCGGCGTCGGCGGCGCATTGCTGATGCATCGCCGATTTGTCGCCGATGTATTGCCGATGTGTAGGCGATGCGGTGCGATGATCCGACCCCGTCAACCTCGACCCCATCTAGGAGGCCTCCATGACGCCTGTGGTGACTGTGAACGGTGATCACCCAGCCGCGTTCGGCAACTGGCAAGGTCCCAGTTCGTTCGAAACGGAAGCGGCGGAGGAGTTCGAGGTGATGGCGAAGGGTGGGGCGACGAGGGGATCAGGGTCCTTGAGAAGAATATTGAGTGGGCGCGCGCACGGGCAAGGCACGAGGCGCGCCGTGGACGGGGTAGGGCCATGGTGGGGGAATTGGGGCCGAAGAGGGATACGGCGATAATCCAGGTGCCAGGGGGGAAGTTACCTGGGGGCGGTTAGCGGAGAGGCCATGGGAGCGGCTGGCCACGCGAGCATCGGGCGCCCATGGCACGGCCACATTCTGTGGCGAACGACAAATCGAATCTTCCGTTAGTTCGAGAGGGGCTAGGTAGGCGCAGATCATCACCCGCGCTTGTTGCACGGCCGCGTTCACCAATCTAGGTTATTTGAGGGGTTACGACGGGGCTGGACGCGCGCTTTCATGCCAACGCATTTTCTAAATAACCCGCAGCGTAGACTGACACCGAGCATAGCGGATGTGAGTCATCCGGAGAACCAGGAAATCGCATCGTCATCTGGAGATGCAGAGTTGCGCGGCGTGGTAACAGGGGCACGCGGAGCTTGTGGCATTCAGTCAGTGCATGGAGACTTCGGGGCAGCCTGCGCTAAACATGGCGCGGCAGCCGCGATAGCTATCGCCAGCAGCAGACGAATTTGTGCAGCAATGCGCACGGATGTGCCCCAAGTTTGGGGTATATGTAGCGAAAGAAGGCGCGGGCGACAGCGCGACGTGCATTTTGCAAATATGTGAGCAGTGCAAGCTTTGAGGGTGCATGTGAGGGCGACGTGGAAATGTCATGGATGCTCAGTAAACAGGAGCCATGTCAGGGCGAGGCGCCGCGACTGACCTCGCCGCGACCCCCACCTTGCATTCTTCATTTTTCATCAGTCACTCAGACCTCCCATGGCCGTCGCGGGGCAGCTGTCGGCGACGCCTGCCGGCCCGATCGCGGGCCCGGCCATTAACGGCCAGGAAGTAAGCTCGCTCGCCAGGGGCCCTGACTAGGAGAACGTCGACAGCCTTGGCGACGAGATCGAGCGAGTTGCGCAGCTTCACTACCTGTCGCGGTGCGCCGCCTTCCATGCCGACCGCCCCGACGGGGTCAACGACGTAAATGTGCGCGAAGCCAGGCCGCGCAATGTCGCAATGTCGCGGGCGCCGCTGGAGACGCCCTGGGGGGCGACGGCGATCAGCTCGAGACGCTCCGGAGAGTCCGATCCGAAAGGATAGACCTCGACCGACAGATGCTCGCTCGGCGACGCAGCCGCGGAACAGAGCAGTGGGTCATGCGCAGGCACGGCGGCGAGGAGCGGCGGGTAGTCCGCGGACTGGCGCGGCGCGAGGTCGTCAGACGTGCGCGCCGGACAGGGCGTCGCCGAGATCAAGGTTGTGATAATCAGCCAGAGTGCTGGGCGGATTCCAGGCGCTGCTTGACCAGGCGCCGGAGGATGTCGTCGGGCATCTCAGGGCGATAGGCCAGGCAGTCGGAGACCAGGGCGATTGCCCTTGCAAGCGCCAGGGCCAAATTCAATGTGAGAAGCTTCGGTTCATGTCAGCTCCGCTTAACCCGCCAGGCCCATCAAGCGCGCTCGGGCGCGGTGGCCCCCTGGGAACGGTTCGGGGGCCTGGGCCCGCGAGGGTGACGTCGCGAACAGAATGGCAAATGCTGCGCTGGCTCGAGGAATCGAGGCAAGCAAGCGAAACGGAACGGACCATCCGCGGAGTCGCCGGGCCCGGCGCGAGAGCCAGAGGAGGGAAGTGCCCGGGGTGAGGATGGCGGCGCGAGAAAGACTGAGGACGCAAAGCGCTCATTGATAGTCAGAGCCAGCCATGCCACGCTCGGAGTCACCCTTCAGGCCCCCGCGAGGCAGTCGCCGCGCCGGTCGCCTATCCAGCGGGCAGGGAACGCGAGTGCGCGAGGCTGACTGCGGGGATCAGGAGGGGGTGGGGTGACCGGTTCAGGGGTTCGGCGAAACGCGAGGCGCGCAAGCGGCAAGTCCTGGCGGGCAATGTCATCGCTGGTGGCGACCTGTGGCATCTACCAGGACTCTTCCAATGTTTTGCGCGCCAGGGTTTATTGCGCGTGGCCAGAAGGTCGCCTCGAGGGCCCGCCCGTGATGCGCATGACGCCCGCGGATCACCGCCAGGAAAACCCGACGAGTCGGTAACATTGGTCACGGGCATCAAGGCTTAATTCTCCGACGACATCGATGGCCGTCTGAGTCCCATGGTTCCGAATCGGATTCCCCCTGGTGCATGATTCGGGAATCGGTGACGCAACCCAGGCATGCATCAACGACATGCTCGAGTTGCAGGAGCGAGAGTTGATTCACCTGATAACCGAATGGTTCGGGCTCTCTTGGCCAGGCAGCGCCGCAGCGCTGGCCATCAAAGTGCTCTCTATGCAGGCCCAGATTTTTTTGGGTGACTGCCACCTTGGGTTGGTTAATCGATCTTGGGCCGTGAACCCCCACGCCGCAGGCGGCGGCCGGGGGAGTCGCAACCGTGGTGGGCCACGCAAAGTGTCAAGCACCCAGACATGGCTAACTGATGGGCCGTCGGCAGGTTGATAAGTCAGCCAAGACTAAGCTTCAGAGCAACATCGTGGAGTGCACGGGGGGCATGGGCAGACAGCAAGGGGGGGGGGGTAACGCCTGGAACGATAACTGCTACGCGGAGCATGACGCGCGGGTGCGCATGCGCACCGTGAAGCGCAGCGGCGAAACGGAGTTCACGCGCGTCGAGGCGGGCAGGGCCCAGGGTAAATAGCAGCCGCCGAAGTGAACGTCAGCGGGGCCCAAGAGGCCCCCAGGGACAACGAACCATTTATCATTTGTTCCTGCCTTTCTCTCCAAAGTCTGTCGCGTGATAAACCTAAGATGCTCAAGTAATCATTTGCGATCGTGCAGCTGTGGCAAATCAGAATAGTGAGGCGATCCCGCCATGCGGCCGATTTGCACGGTCTTTTTGGTAATTGTCTGTAAATTGAATTGGGCCTGTTGCCTAATGCCGCCTCTGCGTGTACCTCTTGCGTTGTTTTCTTGATGGGCTAAGCATGCTGTGTAATAGTCCTGCTCATCATTGCCACTCGCCAGAGCTTGCAGCTTTTGTGCGATCGAGTCTGTTACACCAGTCACAAGTGATGGCTTTGTTTTTCAATTTTGGGCGTAACCGATCTGACCTGGATCACCAGATCGGGGGGTTCAAAGAAGGGCACCAGTTTGCTCTGCAACCTGTGGCGTTGAGCGGAATAGGTCAAACCGCCGCCAGGCGGTGTGTGTGTGTGTGTGTGCGCATTCAGCGTTGCAAAGTAAAGTGGTACTCTATCTTCGTCCATACCGATCTGTTACAGTTGCAGCCGACCGACGTCGACTGAGCAGACTTCCCCCTTTTTCTTCCAACATTGTATATCTTTCGGTATTCATGTTTCCCCCATCCAACATGTTGTGGTTGTTAGCCAGAAGAACTGGACATAAGAAATGGACCTCCCGACCCGCATCGCACGCCCTGCATGCTGCGGCCGCCGATTTCCAAGATTCAGGAGAAGAAAAACACACACACAGACACAATTAATCGTCGATTCCTTAGAAAATACGGGAAAATATGGTCAGTGGGGGGAAAGACATAAACCCAGAAAGTATAGGAAAGTATGGGGGATCCTTTTATTTGTGTGTATTTGTTTGTGTGTCCCAGGGCCCCTTCAAAGATTGGGTCGCAACTCGGCTCCCCGGCGGCCGCTGGGGACGTACGACCTGGGCAGCCCTCGAGCGCTCCCCGGCGATGCGCCGGCGGTGGCAGATCACCCCGAGGCCGGAGAACGTTTCGGGAGAGAGGCATGGAAAGCGTCCTTCACCTCAGGAGGAGACAAAACACACAGACAAAATTGATCCTCGATTCCCCAGAACATATGGGAAAGTATGGGAAGTGGGGGGGGAGACAGAAATCCTGAAAATACGGTGAAATATGTGGAATTCTGTGATTTGTGTGTGTGTGTGTGTGCCTCTATTTGTGTGTCCCAGGGCCCCTTCGCTTACCCCTGGGCGCGCCGCCGACACGCCCTTCTCGCCCTGGGCACGCCGCCGACTCGCCCTCCCTCGCCAGGGTGGCTTGCGCCGCCCGCTTCGTCGGCTCACTTGCGACCGCCAGTGGCACGGCCGCGCTCTTCCCCGCGCTGCTCGCCGCGAACGCGGCGGCCTTCGGCTTCGCGCTGCGCGGCCGCGAGGCTGGTTGGCCCGAGGCCAGGGGGGGCGGCTCTCCACCATACAGCCTCCAGCCTCCTCGAGCCTCCACCTTCCTATTGCTCTTCCTCCCTCCCGTGAACTTCTCCGAACTGTTCATTTCTTCTCCTTTCGTTTCCCTTGCCTCATCCTCCTCTTTCTCTTCCTCCTCCTCTTTCTCTTCCTCCTCCTCCTCCTCCTCCCCCTCATCATCATCATCGTTCCCATCCTCATCTCTTACCTCCGCGTCCTCGTCGTCCTCCTCCTCCTCCTCATCATCATCATCCTCCTTTTGTTCGTCGTCTCCCTCCTCCTCCTCCTCCTCCTCCTCCTCCTCCTCCTCCTCCTCACATCATCATCAGCATCATCATCATGATTTGATGTTCCTCCTCCCTCTTCCAACGTCGCCCGCGTCGCTGTCGGCGCCGTCGTCGTCCTCCTCTTTTTCTGGCCTCCTCTTTTCTCCCCTCTCCTCTTCATGCTCCCGCCTTCTCCTCATGCTCGTCATCCCTGTCTGCGAAAAACATTTTCTAATCGGGTCGGCGCACCTCCAAAGTGTACCTCTCTCCTCGGACTGCCCCTCAACGGGTAATGAGCCTTCTCCTTCTCCTCCTCCTCTTCCTCCTTCTCTGTCCTCCTCCCCGTCCTCCTCCTCTTTCTCCTTCTCCTCCTCCTCCTCCTCCTCACTCTTCACTCCTCACTCCTCACTCCTCCTCCTCCTCCTCCTCCTCCTCCTCCTCCTCCTCCTCCTCCTCCTCCTCCTCCTCCTCCTCCTCCTCCTGTGTTCCGTCGTGATATATAGGTGCGTTTACGTGTGGTTTTTGTGTGCATAGGTATTTGTTTGTATACGCCCTCCTCCAGCGTCTTCCCCCCATTGTCTTCCGCCCTCCCCCCATCCACACCCGCGGGGAAGAACGTTCAGGCGAGCGTGGCAGGGGGCCGGCTGGTACAGTGAGGGTCCAGCTTCGGGGCGAGGGAGGCTGGGGCCAGGGCCAGGGGACGCCAGAGCCAAGGAGGGAGGCTGGGTTCAGGGCCAGGGCAGGAGGACGGGGGCGAGGGGGCCAGGGGAAGCAGGCCAGAGCCAGGGGACGATGACGAACCACGAAAATAAGGGTCCGGGGCGAGGGAGGCTGGGGCCAGGGCCAGGGGACGCCAGAGCCAAGGAGGGAGGCTGGGTTCAGGGCCAGGGCAGGAGGACGGGGGCGAGGGGGCCAGGGGAAGCAGGCCAGAGCCAGGGGGACGATGACGAACCACGAAAATAAGGGTCCGGGGCGAGGGAGGCTGGGGCCAGGGCCAGGGGACGCCAGAGCCAAGGAGGGAGGCTGGGTTCAGGGCCAGGGCAGGAGGACGGGGGCGAGGGGGCCAGGGGAAGCAGGCCAGAGCCAGGGGGACGATGACGAACCACGAAAATAAGGGTCGCCAGAGCCAGGGAGGGAGGCTGGGTTCAGGGCCAGGGCAGGAGGACGGGGGCGAGGGGGCCAGGGGAAGCAGGCCAGAGTCAGGGGGACGACGACAGACCACGAAAATAAAGGGTCTGGGGCCAGGGCCAGGGGGCGCCAGAGCCAAGGAGGGAGGCTGGGTTCAGGGCCAGGGCAGGAGGACGGGGGCGAGCGGGCCAGGGGAAGCAGGCCAGAGCCAGGGGGACGACGACGAACCACGAACCACGAAAATAAAAGGTCCGGGGCGAGGGGCGCTGGGGCCAGGGCCAGGGGGCGCCAGAGCCAAGGAGGGAGGCTGGGTTCAGGCCCAGGGCGGGAGGACAGGGGCGAGGGGGCCAGGGGAAGCAGGCCAGAGCCAGGGGGACGACGACGACGAACCACGAAAATGAAGGGTCTGAGGCGAGGG